CTCAACTGCTGTTAGCATAAATTTCAAAATTAAAATCGCAACGAGACGACATATGTATGCAGGCGGAAAAGGGGTGGTGCTGCTATTAGGAGAGGGGGTGGCAATAGAAGGGGGCGGGGATTCACTTTCGAAAAGTAATTATTTCGAGCAAAAGCAAGGCGCCAGGGGTTTTGTTAGCCCTTCATTTCTTTTTGTCTCTGTTTTTTTTAGCAGCTGTCACTTTGGCCTGACATTTCGCTGGCTCTCCTTTCAATTCGCCGCATTTCTCACCTTTTTCAGTTTGCTTGTTTACATGGACAATAATTATAAAATCTACGTTCCATTGTAATTGTTAGAATAAATCAATGTCGAATGGAATTCATCCAGCTCCAACCCTCTTTCGGTGACTTTTCCCCTTGCAACCCCTTGAAAATCGCCTCCTGCCTGCGTTTTTGTTTCGATTTAATTGCTTGTTAAAGTTGAATTGTGCTGCGATTGCAGGCTGCACTTTGCAGGGACTTAATGATGCAGGAATTTGCTGACTTTGCCGGAGTAAATCGGTGGACTGGCAGTGGGGACAGCTTCCTTCTTCGTTTCCCACTTGATTTGACTTCGCCAGACAATTTGCTGGCGGCATATGAGTGTAACAAATTACGGAAATCATTCGAAGAAAAATCCCCATTTTTGGGAAAACATTTTTGCATTCCACAATCGGACAAAAGCAGCCAAAATGGGGCTTCATTAAATGGAGGGAGCAAATTGCACTCCGAAAAATGATGATGCCCCCTCAACGAACTCAGCCCAATTGTGAAATGTTTGCCATCGTTTGGCCAGGCCAAAAAAATAAATAGAGTGGAGTTGCAGGGACAGACATTTGAAGTATTAAATAATTTGGCGCCATTGTCTTCACACCACACGACTTGCCCTGGAAATCCTGCCATGTTTATATGTGCATTCTGTGCTTGTGTATTTTCAAATTATTTCTTCATTTTCTGCACAGATATGCACAAATAAAAAACAAGCAGCTGACAGAGAAGAAGAAAAGGGCGGAGTGAAAAGTGGAAAATGGCACAAGGCATTGTCGTCCTGACTTCCGTGGGATCCTTAGATAAGGACTTACTAAAATATTGGAAGGGTATTTGGGTTTTGAAAGGGGCATATAAGTTTCTTAAACGGTTTTCTGGAGAAAATTGTATACCGAAGATGAGGAAAACTATTAATTTAAATAGTATTAACAAAAGCTATGTAAAACATATAGAAAAAATGCATTTAAATAATAGTTATATGTTTGTTTGGTAAATATAAATGTTTGGTCACAAAATTGGAATAGCATTGGCAAACAAAAAATCTATTTATTTAATATTTATTTAAATATTATTAACAAAAGCTATGTAGAACCTATAGAAAAAATGCATTTAAATAATAGTTATATGTAAGTTTGTTTGGTAAAGCAAAATGTTTAGTCATAAACTTAGGATAGCATTGGCAAACAAAAAGTGTACAAACTGTAATGTAAACTCTGCTTCGACTAACTGGTAAACAATCTAGAAGATTTGTTTAACTTACAGCACATTTTATTGTTTTTAAATGAAAGACCATCAAAACGTCGTCTATGTCAACTGACTTCTGGTTAGTTTTTCTCAGTTTTGTGTTTTCCGTTGTCATTATGTAGTTGTCTGCACTATTTGCCGTTTGATTCTTACAATTTGTGAACCATGTCTGGATGTTTGCATGCGATGACAAAAGGATGGTGATGATAATGATGCTGCTCCTTTGGCATGTTTTTATTTCTAGCATGCATTCAGCCCTTGTCGTCTAGAATAAACAACGTAATTGCGAGTTTGTGTGGGCGACACAAGAGTCAGATCAACTGGAGCCCCAGAAAGACACACATGCCACTGCAGGAAGCTGAAAAATACATCTAAGCCGGCGACAAATAATCCCAAATGGTATGGAATTCTTGGCCATCGATGCTGGAGACACCAAAGTAAAAGAGGTCTATCCGCTGCATCTATCATAAATGTCAGCTGCTTTACGATCGGTTGCCCTTTGACTGTTTCGCTGTTTTCTGTTTTCAGTATTTAGTTCTCTGGATGGGATGTGGTGAGGCGCTTCAAAGAAGGCCGGAAAGGCCTGATGCATGCAACTTATACAAACACACTGGGAACCGGGAACTGCGGCAGAGCACGCATACAACAATAAAATTTATAGCATACCGTGTATAAAACGGCACGCGGCTCATTCCCGGAACACATGTTGCATCTCCACCAAGCAGCCATCCCATGTTTGCAGGGGGGACCGAAAGGAGGGCATACTGTAGCGCACAGTGGGTCGAAATTTAGCATAGAACGGGTTGAAAATTGTAAACTGATATATATATTTTGAAGTGTATTGCTTTACCCCAAATCTTTGCTTTAATTAAGATTTTTTTCTTAGAACAAACTGCGAGATATATTTTGAACTATATTTAATATTCCTAAACTTTAAACTGTTGCTTAATTAAGCTTTTTTTGATACCCTCAAAGCAAACTGAAAAATATATTTTGAAGTCTATTTCTTAACCCTAAGCTGTTGCTTTTATTAAGATTTTTTTTTTAAATACCTTTAAAGCAATTTAATAATATATTATAAGACCCCAAAGTCAATTTGTTTAAGTATAATATGTATCGTTATTGAACTGATTTTGATATGTTACCCTTTAATAAAATTCTTATTTGAAGAAGCCGAAAAATAACATATATATTTATATGCTAATAATTAAATAGTATATGGTTTTATCACCAACTTAAAGCAGAATCACCATCTCATCATCATTGCTCGTCTGCTGAGTTAACTTGTTATCCTGGCTATTACCAAACTAAGCAATAATAATGTACTTTCCATTGGCAACCATATAATTAAATAGCTGCAATCTCCTCCACTCTTTTTCAACATTTTAATTAATTAATTGCCTGTTAGTCTGGGGACACTGTTTGCGAGAGGCGAGTGTATGACATGTAGCCAGCTTTGTTTACTTCATAATTTGTTTTTGCGTTGTTGTTTTCATCTTTTCGGTTTCGACCACAGAAAAACCTTTCATTTTTTTTCAGCTCATTTTTTGTCTTTTAGTTGGCACCGCTCGTTTTACGAGCCTATCTGCCAGATTGCTGTTTGGGTCACATTTTATTTTTGCTATTCTTCTTCCGCCGGCATCGCCTGTCATTTCCACCCGACCATTCCGCCAAGGAAAAAATAAACATTGTTTTTTCCTCTGCTTTGGTTGGGCAATTAAACTGCAGTTTGGTTGTTAAACATTTATGCCATGCTCTCGACTCTTTGACTTGTCTTGACTTTCGGCTCTGAGTGATTTGTTGTATGTGTGTGTAAGTGGGCGATGGGCGATGGGCGGTTGGCGGTGCGGGGGCGTGGCCAGGAGAAAAAGCCAACAACTTTGTTGTTCACTCGGGATGGGTGATCAAGTTGTCAAACATTTTTACCCCCCATTATATGCCACTCGAAAGGTTGAAAATTGCATGTACAAATTCCATTTGAATTGTTTGCAAATTTCATTGGCAATGCAGCGACTTCTGCGGGGTTGGAAAACAGTGAGTGGCATTGTCCAGAGACAGCTGGCCACCATAACGGACATCCGGCTAATGCGATCCTGTTCCATTTCTGGTTCCGGTTTACGCTTGCGCACCATTTTCGCAACACTCGCGCTCGAGTGCATCGATGTGCTCAAAAATGTTCCCAAAATGAACTACGGTCGCATGTCCAGGGCCCCTATTTCACATGGATTACACGAAATAATGGCGCATAAATCCGGCAAAAGGGAATGCCAGTGGCAAATGCAATTCAATGGCCACTGATTGCCGGGTTTCCACCGAAAGTCCTTGTGAAAAGTGGATTTTGGAGTGGGCAAGGGGGTGGAATCGAGTGGTCAGGGGATGACAATGCTGCTAAAGGTGATCATGGATGCGTAATTGTTTATTGGTTTTGCGTTAAGAATTTGTTGTGAGGAGAACGGTGATTGCTTTTCACAATATGGGTCGGGATGGGTAATTTTCCAAGCAAGGGGAATGAAAAGTCCTGGTGAAAACTCTCACAAAATACATGAGTGGGAATGGAAAAGAAAAAAAGGGGACAGAAAAAAAAGAATTTAAGAACTTAGTTAAAGGTATTTGTTGCATAAGACTCTTATATATATTTAAAAAAAAATTATTAAAATTTGTCCATTATTCAATTTATAAAAGTCTCAGATACATCAATAGTAAAATAAAGCATATTTTTTATAAATAAATATAAGCTTAACAATAATAAAAATCAAATTAAAATATGCAATACAAATACAAAATAATCTGATAAACTTTCTTAGGAGCTATCTTAATGATTCTAAAAATAGGTAAATTGTTTCTTTCTTTTAGAAAGCGAATATTTTATTTGTTTACTTTTTTTCACACCATTATTTCCCCATCAGCCAATAAATTCATGAATATCAATGTTAACAAAATTTGTTCAAAAACTTTAGCATTAATTCGAGTCTGGAATAGGTTACCCAACTAAGTGCCACTGCAGCAGGCTAATTTGTGATTTTAATTTGGTTTATTGCCGCATAGACAGTGCAGAGATGCCAAAAAAAAAGAAAAGTATGGAGTGGGGAAAATAGAAAAGCATAAAGCGAAAAGCCAGAGAAATGTGAGGAGTAGTAGCCGCAGACAGGCGGAAGCCTTTGCTAGATTCTGCCGTATTTTTCGCTTGCCAGGAAAATCCTGCAGCTGCTTTGAAGAGCCGCCAAAACGCAGAGACTCTTACCCTAAGCCTCCTGCATCCCCCGGATTTTCCCCTCCAAATAAGCGACATTTTCCTGTTGAAATTCAAGAGGTTGCCGCATGTTGCAAAATGTCGCAGAATATAAAACCAAGGTCGCGTGTGGCACGTGATGGGAAAAATGAGCGCACACGTCGATCGGATCACAACATAATCCGGCCCTGAACTTAGGTTATCACTTTGGTAAATATCTACGTTTTCCTCTTCCTCCCCAGAATCCGGATCGAATATCAATCAATTGGCTGGCAGTGACATTCGAGGAACGGTGTCGGGCTCTAATCACCCAAAAGATTCTCAACACATTTTGCAAATTGCTTTCAGTTCTCAAATTGTGGGAATCGGACAAGGGAACGGGATTCATTCAGAGGGTTACTTAAAGTGCGGGCCTCGAAATCGAATGGGGAAAACATTACAATTTCACTCTCTATTATTCTTTGTTCTGCGACCAGACTTGTGAAGGTTATCAGCCAGCGCGATAAGGAACTGCATTTCGAAAAATAATAAAAAAAGAAAATTAAACCTCATATTCTTTCGAAATGTTTAGCGGCTCATGTTTCAACTTTAGAGGACAGAGAGCGAGAAATCTAGCATCAAATTCCAATTGAAATGAACCATTAAAAACCCGAAACAAAATTGAAGTATAAACAAAGAGTGATTGATGCTGATAAGCGACTAAGGTTGTCAGACTTGGACTTAATAATATAAATGGATCAGTTTCCTGCTGTACAGACTTCCACAAAAATACAACCAACTTATACTTTGAAATATACATAGCTAAATATGTATACAATTACCTAGAAACTGAGTCACATTGTATATAGAGATTTTCATAAGCTAATTTCACATATGTATGTATATACATTGCAAAGAGCATTTCATTGTACGAAATGGTAATGAATAAAGATTAGGTTCATTTTAGTTCGGTACGTCGAAACGTCAACAACATACATATAAAGTCTGGCCTGAGTGCGAAATAAAAAAATGAGCAAATATATAGTATTTTTCGGACTTTTGTTAATCTTACACGGAAGTTTGTGTTCTGAGAATGGATATGATAAAATGATCGAAGCCAATAAACAGGAAATGCGAAGACTGGAATCGCAGATGAATTCGGCGATGGATCGACTGAGAACTATCCAATTACAAAAAGAAGAAAAGCTTAAAGTTCAGCAGCACAATCTGGCATTGTTGGATATATTATTCGATTTATTGGAGCCAAAATCGGAGGAAAAATTAAAAACGTTTACTACGCAAACTGGTGAAATTGGTGCCTAATAAAACCACTTGGGATACTTATTCATAAGTATACCACATGGGATACAATAAAGAATAATTGAAAGGATATACCTCCTCAGATAGTGATATATTCCACTGAGAATGAGAAACCTTAAAACAGAAAATTTAATAAAGAATCTTCATACTTAAACACTTTTTGAATTGGTTTTATATCTTTATTTTTTTCAACACTTAAACATACCTATTTATATTTTCTTCCCATTTGCAAATATATTGAAATTAATTTTACATTCTTATAAAAAGCGTAACAATCGATGAAATGAGCTGCCTGAGAGCAAGACAAACGATTTCTTATCTGAAGTCCAGCATGTTTATGGACCGAATCGCATCATCATTAACGTGTTTCCAGATCTCGACCAGCAGCAATCAAAACATTACCTAAAAAACTGAGTCACATTGTATATTTAGATTTTCATAATCTACTTTCACATATGTATGTATATTGCAACGAGCATTCCATTGTACGAAATGGAAATGAATAGAGATTAGGTTCATTTTAGTTCAGTGCGTCGAAACGTCTACATCATATAAAATCTGGCCTGAGTGCGAAATACAAAAATGAGCAAATATATAGTATTTTTCGGACTATTGTTAATCTTACACGTAAGTCTGTGTTCTGTGGGTGAATATGATAAAATAATAGAAGCCAAGGCACAGGAACTGCAAAGACTGGAATCGCAGATCAATGATTCATTAAGAAAGCTGGAGGAAATCAAGTTAAATAATGCGGATATCATGGAGTTGGATCGACTGAGAACTAATCTGTTACAAAAAGAAGAAATGCTTAAAGTTTGCGAAAACAATCTCAAACTTCAGGAGGGCAGTTCGGCATTCTGGAATACAGTAAAGGATTTAGTGCAGCCAAAACTGGAGGAAAAATTAAAAACTTTTAATACGGAAACTGTGGTACCCAATATAACCACTTGGGATTTACTAAAGAATACCACTTTACTAAAGGATACCATCAAAAATAATTGGAAGGATATACCTCGCCAGATAGTGATATATTTTACTGAGAATGAGAAACCTTAAAACAGAAAATTTAATAAAGAATCTTCATATTTAAACACTTTTTGAATTGGTTTTCTCTTTTTATTTTTTTCACACTTACCTAACTAACTTAATGAGTTCAACATACCTATTTATATTTTATTCCCATTAGTCAAACATATTGAAATTAATTTTATACTCTTATAAAAAGCGTAACAATCGATGAAATGAGCTGCCTGAGAGCAAGACAAACGATTTCTTATCTGAAGTCCAGCATGTTTATGGACCGAATCGCATCATCATAAACGTTGTTTCCAGATCTCGACCAGCAGCAATCAAAACAAAACCATCACGAAAACGAGAAGATGCCCATATATTGTCCATAGGAATGGGTGGTCGCAGTTCTATGCAATTAGAGACAGCGCCCTGATGATAAAAAAAAAAGAAGGAAAAGTCCAAAAGATGCGCTCAAACTGTAACAAATATAAATAACAAAGGAAAAAAACGTATTTTGTTAAGTTTTTTTCAGTTTTCTTTTATGGCCAGCCCATAAAAGCCACACACATAACCTGGATTGAATCGAGATGATACCATATACATAGACCAACCATCATATCCAGCCGAGAAACACTTGGCGACACTGACGACGTGTGGTCCAAGTGGTAAATTGGGCTGGGGAAATGGGAATCTGAATCCGAATCCGAATCCGCATCGGAATTGGAGTCAGACCCCGGCTCTGAATTATGAAACACTTTCCGCATTTAAGAAGGAGGGAAAACTCCGGCGAGAGGAAAAAGTCGTGCAATAAATAAAACACTTCAAAAGTGCACTTAAGATAACAACGGAAAAAGCCAAGAGGCTGGGGAAAATGAGACCGAAGACAAAAGAAGAGCCCCAAGAAGTGTGAGATGAGATGAGATTCGTCTCCAAGTCTGGGTAATATGTGGGTCATCTAAGACTCGACTACATCGCCTGCGGCATGCATTTGAAACTGAGAAGTGGCAAGAGTTTTTATGGAGAAGAATATTCTACAAGTTAAAAAAGTTCCTCTTCTTACATAGTTAATAATAATAGTTTTTTAGTGGTTTATTTAGTTTAAATTTGAAAGTTAAATTCATTTTTTATATACATTTTATGGGAAATAGATTAATATTTGGCTTGCAAATATTATAAATATAATAAATAAGATGAAATGGAAATATATATATAAATATATATTTTGCGAAAATAGGTTAAGCTTAAGAAAACATTGGCCAACTCAATTATCACAAATAACAAAGTTTAATACTTATCAAAGGTATACACCCTAAATTTATTTAAGCAAACTTTTGCATTATAAAATATATGCAGTAAACAAATTGATTTTGATGTAGTAGATTTGTAACAACTTCAGTGGTATATAAACTTCGGCTTGCCGAAATAAGATTGAATGGAAATATATATATATATAACGCAATAATTTCAAATAAGCAAACTTTTGCATTATAAAGTAATCAATTTGGTCTTCCAAATACCTTTGACTTGACCAGTCAAAAAGTTGTTTTTAAACATTAATCAAGCTCACATTCAGGCCTCTGCTTTCCTTGATGACCCCGACCAAATGCAGACATCAGCGGCTCCAATTTCAATGTCAGACAGAATCAATAAACGGCAGAAAATGCTGTCATTGTGCTCGGGAGATACTACCATTGGGTATTACTTCCAGGTGATTTGCTGTGTGTGTCCATGCCTTCCACTCCAGTGAACTCCATTCGATCCTTTTGCATGCCGTTTCGAGCCAAGCCGAAAACAGGAGCATATTTTCCACGTGCACTGAACCCAGTCCGAATCGAACCTGAAATCCCTATCCCAGAAATCTACCGGGCGCACTTACGCCTGACTGACTTTTTCACACGTTCTCGGACGTCCTGGGTTTTGGGTCCTGGGTGCTGGATTTTGGGAATCGGCCCAGAGATGAGGCCCCCGGGCCAAAGTCAAGGCTGGGATCATAAAGCAAATTACCCAGGTCGTGGCTTCGGATACATATGGTTTGCTTTTGGGTGCACAGAGGCGGTGGAGAAGGGGATCCCAAAAATAGCTGTCAATTGGGCAATGCCAAAAGTTCTCCCGGGCACGTTTACCACTCCTCATCCCCCCTTTTCCACACACACACACAAATCGAGGCAGGCATAATTTATAATTCAATGAGTTAAAGTTGAATGCAGCACGGCATTTAACCCACCATCATTAGCAGGGGTCCACAGAGGGGAGTGGGGAGCACATGGGTTAAGGAAGAGACCCAAACACATCGGGCTTTTCGGCCCTCGGGCGCATGCCACACAATTCACCTTGAAGCCAAACTCAGAAGCGAAGATTAATTGCCACAGCCTTTTGTTCGACGACTACGTATCTTGGCCCTCTCAGTACTTCTCTCTGTGTTTTACATATATCTGAGCTATGCATCTCGAAGTTGGTGATGGCATAAAATCACAAAAATACCATATACATTTTAAACAATTTTCAATAAGGAATTTCTTCCTAAGAAAATTTTCTTTTATAAGTAAAAATTAAAAATAATTAATTGTGTTTTCTGAAGGGATTACTCTTTATGTGCCTAAAAACAGACATGCATGTGCCTAAAAAATACCTGTTGTATTCGAACTCGGCCCTTTGTGCTATAATACTAATTATATTTACTTAAAGATCATTTTTGACTCGATATTAAATATTTTAATTGCCCTTCTGAGTTTATAACATAAAATTATATATTTACAAAAATGTAGAAACATTTCAAAACAATATCCTTTCTCACGATAGAAATTTTTTTTTAAAAATATTCCACAACTTCTACCGATCGTACCTCACGCTTCCATCCCGAAAATGTCCCTCTCTTCATGTACAACTCTAATGGCGATAAGGAATTTTATTCAGAGCTGGTTGCCCCAAACGAATCACCCTGCTCCGTACCCTTTTCCCTACCAAAACTCAAAAGGGCAGGCAGCACACGTAATTGCTTTTTGTTTGGCGTCTCATTTTAGTTACGGTCTGGCAACTGATGATGCTCATACGCACGGATGTGACTTGGGATTGCGAATGGAGTGGATAGTGGATAAGGAGGGGGGGTTGATGTCGCGCCTACGAAAATAGGTGTCGCCAAGGCGATTAGGCCTGGCCAAGAGATGAGGAAGAAGAAGAGCGGGCCAATGGCCATTGGCCATGAATCAAAACCAGAGGAAAACAGGGGCTTCATTCGTTAACTCCGCCGACTGTCAAGCACACACACAATTCGCCTTGAGTAATGCTGTTCCCATTTGAATTATTGCTGTCGCCATGACCCTCACAAAACCCCAACTCCACTCTTCATTTTTTCAGGCCAGTTAGCTAAAAAAAAAAAGGGTTCTTATTTACCTAGAATTCATGTGTCCTAACACTCTATTCGTCCCCAGAAAATGTTGATGGTGATGCTGATAGTGGAAATGATCTATTTGGAGCTCAGCAGTTTGATAAGAAATTGGTTTTACAGTCAGTTAAGTTGATTGCATAAAAAGCGGGTTTTGAAACTAATGAAGAATTAATAAGGATACAGCTCTTGTAACTTCTTGAGATTCGATGGTTTTTTCAAAGAATAAGTTTGGTATTTAAAAAGACTCTTATTTTAATTGTAATATAATTTTAAACGTTTTAGGTAACTAATAAAATTATCTCATTAAACTATTTATTAAATCACATGAATCATTTACAGCAAGTAAACATTCAAAGTGTCAAATATTTTTATTAAAGCTGTAAGATCGTTCACTTCATTAACGACCGAGTTCCAATTGAATCAGGCGCTCGTAAAAGTATAAAATTCATGTAATTCTGTGTGTGCCGGGGATTATGAAATCCACTTTGGGCATACATCATTGTGACATGTTTTATGGTCACACTTTAATTGACAAACAAGATCCATTTGTTTCAACATTTTGCATTACATTTCCGCCTCATTGCGCATTCCAATCCAATTACAATTTCACACCATTTCCCCCCAAACTTTTTCAGTTAAAATACTCGAAGGGCCCAACCCAAAGAACTCAGACTTTTGTTGTCTTCGACGTCGAGCCGCCTCATTAGGCATAATTTATAGATGCCTAGTAGCTAATAAAATATCCGAGTGCGGGCAGAATCGGGAAGGTGGGGCTCTTTTCAAGGGGGGACAACTTTCTAAAATTTCAAAATCGTAGCTTCTTAGGCATGCGCACAAATTTATAATGCAATAAATCAGCTCCGAATGGCTTTTACCACGAACCAGAATCGAAGACTCGTCGCTGGCCAATTATTTTAATCGCCTTTGTCAAGCCACTGGCTTTGGTAACACTCAAAGAATGCAATATATACCCGATATATATGCGATATGGATGCGACGGATAGAAGAAAGAACCACTCTGATTAAGCAATTCGGTGTGAAGTGCCCGGAGCCCACAGACAAAAGAGCTTTCAACACTCCAGCGCCTAAGAAATGGAATGCAACATTAATGGCATCTGTCTCCAGTTCAGTGGATGTCCATAAAAATACCAAAAATTTACTTTCACTTAGCCCCAATAACCTGATGGCTATGGCCACTCCACTTCGATTTGAGTGGCGCTTTTGGAGGCATTCGTCAAGAGGTCGTAACGATCAACTGGCGATACAACAAATTATAAAATGTATCTATTTTATGGATCGAAGTTTACGGAACAGCTGAGTTTAACATAAACAGAGGCGCCATTGGAAATGTTTGATGTAAAACAAGGTTCGGTGTTTGGCCCGCAAGAATGAGATTGATTATTTTAAAAACTGGCAATAAAGAAAACTGATTTACATTTTGTACAGATTTATCTTTGGTGATCTAATAGATATTTCTGCTGTTATAAAATTGAAGGGGTTTTTATCCATGAATATCCTAAACAATTGGTTACATACACATTTAAAATCAGCAATTATAGCTTGGATCAAAATATTTTATGAATAATTACTCCACTTTTCTAATCGTTTTTTTCCGCTATTTCTTAATCGTTTAATTTCTTTAGATAACCCCGATAACTATGAAATTTTCCAGCTGTTCCGGGAATAATTTCTTCCGACAC